AATTGCTTAATATGTGACCAGACACTCTTGTCCCTTGTACTGTTTAATTAGCTGACATCAGTCTTTTCACTCCTAACTCCCTTATTTTTGATTTTCTCTAGACATGTCTTTTGCATAATGCTTCAGGAATTCTATAGATTCTGGAGACATTTTTTGAAGACAGCAGTGTTCAGAAAAACTAGAAAACTATTATGTTTTTGAAAGTAGAAATAATGGGCAATTTGGAAGATAATTTAGTTCTTCCCGCCCCAGTCACATAAGATCTCATTAAAGATTTCTTGAAGAAACTCCTGTAACAGATACTTTAAGGAACCATGTACCCACCTCCCCATGATTTTGATATTGCATTATAAGGGCTCATTGAGGTTTTCTCTCAGACTTCTTAATGCTTTATCTATAATATTCTACTGAGAATTTGTTTTTATTTCTTATGATTCCTTGAGAAAGAAACTGCATAAAGTACAGTTTGTTATTTCTTTGCTTAAGTGACAACAATTATTACACATAGCTTATTCACTTTTTTTTTCTTCTTCTTTTTTATTTTTTTAACAAAGGATAGAACTCAGGACCTTGTGCTTCCCAGGCAGGCACTTACACTGTTAAACTATATCCCAGAACTTGCTTAGTTTTGTAGATGATACACTGTTAAAAATCTTTCAAATGATTGTTCTGTATTTTTGTCTACCCTTTCATAGGTATTGGATATCACCACTTTCATTCCCAACTCATTCACGAAAGCCTTCTAGAAGCAGGGCTGCAAAACACATGGTCACTGACGTAGGCCAATGCAGACACATCTCCTTTTCACATTTATTTCATTTTGTTTTAAGATCACAGAAGAGCAGAGCATTCATACGTGTAAAGTAACAGAAGAAACAGAATTTAAATACATTTAAGGAAAAGAAAAAAAAAAACCTTTTATTTTATTTTTTTACACACACTGCGCTTTTTATTTTCCTTCACAGAGCTAGTATCCAGGGGGAAAAAATCCACCCAATAAACAGAAATAAAATACTCAATTGAAAAACCAAACCAAAAAATGGTCATGAATTTATATCATCAAGGGAAGATCAGTTCATGTCTACAGGGCTGAAAAAAGAAATATATTTATATATATTTATATGTATATAACATTGTTAATATGGAGAATTCTAACCAAGAGCAGGATTTGTACACCTTCAGTAGAGCAGTGAGAAGGCGGGTGAAGCAGTGGTGGGAAGAGGCTGGAGGTGAAGGTGATTCTCCTTGGCTTCTCTCCCCAGTGGTTCTCTCCCGTAAGCCTCCCCACTCCCAGTAAATACACAGCGGAACCCGGCCACAGTTCACCAGGACAAGTCTTTTATGTTTCCTGGTAAAGAGCAAAGATTTAGGAAAGCGGGCTTATAAAAAGCTCTGGGTAGCTTAGGATCGTTGCTGCGTGCCACAAAGCTATTAGTTCCATGTGTTTTCTTCGTTTGCAAAGAAGCAGAGTTTTAACTGTGCCTGGTACACAGAGAAGGCTTTAGCAGAGAAGGAGTAGCTGTAGGAGTAGATTCAGGAGCACCACCCCAAAACAAGTACCTCTGAAACCACCATGGAAATGTGAAGATTTTCTGTGGACAGGTCATCGCTCACTTGAAGAGAGCTTCATGTGTACTCTGAGCCCTTTGTGTATCTTTATCAGACAAAGCAATGTTAATGTTGGGAAATTGTAAATAAACCCTGATCTCAAAGTCCTTCTGTCCTTCCAGGCAATTCCCAAAAAGACAACTCTGGACTGACACTAAGCTGAGTCTCTGAGTCAGTGTGAGGCAAAAGGACTCCTGTTCAATTTATTCAGAGCAAGGCAGAAAAAAATAAGTTCCCCAGTAACTGCTTCAGAAACCATCTTGTCTGCTTAAATCTCCTCTCAGAGAACTTTCAGTTTTGATTCTGGATTTCACACTAATTCTTACTGTCTACAACTGTGACCACCTCAAATGTGTTTTTGTTATATTTTCCACTTATTTAAATATTATAGACTTTGACTTAAAAAAAAAATGAGGCCTGATTTCTGCTCATCTACTTGCTTGATTTCACAGCCTATAAGTCAAGTTACAGGAAACATGTCTCTCTCAATCAAAATGTATTGTCTTGGCTGTTCATTACAGCTTACCCATTGGAAGCTGCCTGGGACCACATGCTATGGCCATTCGCTCAAGAAAAGGACACACTTTCACTATAATGAGGCGCTCTGTCCAGAATGAGAAAAAACAAACAAACTACAACAACAAAAAACCCTTGATGTTCTTCTCATATGCACAACTTTCACATTTATTATAAGCATAATGCCAAACCTGGCTAGTTTCCTTCTTATGAAAGGTCATTAGGATGTAGTTCAAGAGTTAGATTTTGTAGGATTGTAAGCAAAAATAGCCCCAGCTATTTCAAAGCTATAATCTTAGCTTTTGAAATAGAGATGATGGAGTGATGATTCTGAGATAAGACTGGAGATGACAAACAGCTGCTTGGAATAGGTGGGCACAGCAACAAGTGAGCATTCAATTCTTATTTAGAATCAGTGTCAAGAGGCAAAAGAGGTTTAGAAATGTCATAAAGTTTCTCACTTTCAGGATGCGGAAGCCAAGAATGAGGAAATTTAAGTATCTCGCCAGTGGCATGTAGACAGATGTCTGTGTTCAGGGACAGGCTTACAAACAACTTTTTCTGACTTCCGGTCAAATACAACTTCCACTTCACTTTAAAGTATCTTTTAGAAAGAGGAGCACAATTTTAAATCTACTGTTAATGTGGCCTGAATTTATTTCTAGAATAGTCCTTGTAAAAAGACTTTCATCTTTGAAAGTCCTATCTTTGATATCTGTACAAGTTGTTCAGATTACAGGGTATTAAATCCATCTTCCTTGCTGAAAGAAAAGAGATACAGAGAGATAGATTGCTGGAATGAAAACAAAATCTTGAGTTTCATTTGATGACATTTGATGTATATTTTCACATCAGGATGTGTCATGCCTGCGATTCTTCCAGTTGAAAGGATTCTTCCTCTTATTTGTAAAATGTGGTATAAAGGTATAGAAACCTATATCAAAATAGAAAGTAGTACTACTACTACTTTCTTTGCTTTTTTTTTTAAAGAAAAAGTTATTTTTATAAGATAGCTCAGCAAGATATTTCTTAAGGATATAATATAACTCTTATATCCTGCAATATTTTAGAATTAAGATGACAGGCTTTCTCAATGCTTTTGTTGAATTTTTTAAATTGGGAAACGAAAGTGAAGTATGCTTTTCCTATCAGGGTGTAGGTGACTTCTTTGCAGCTACTTAAATAAGATTCTTAGGTGGTGAGGAAGCAATTGTAAGACACTTATAAGTTGTACAACACTTGCAGAACCCTTCAAGCTGTTCCTCTCTATCTCTTTATTCCCCTTGTTTTGAGGTCAAGCAAATGTTGGCAAATTTTAGGAGAATTCCCACCCAAGTCCAGCAGGATCAAGGTGCTCAACCACTTACATGTGACTTGAGCAGGGTGTGAAGCTCAAGGTGCAGCTTTGGGTCTGCCTCCCTTACCTGAGGCAGCCTATGTTCCATTTTGACCTGTGCAATGCTTTGGTTCTTTATTTTTATTTGATCTTTTTTCTTTAAGATTTACAGGTTTAGCTGAATTTGGCCCTGCATGAAAAATGAAGTTTACATAGTTTATATTATGTACATAAACTAGGCATTTACATTGATTTACACATGATTGGTGCCTAATTTATTAATCAGCACGGAGTATGTAAATGTGCTGAAAAGAAATCAAGATTTTAAATAAGTTTTCCACAATATCCATAAACATTCCATGGCTGTAAATGTTAAGCCTAAACCTAATGTTAGCACTAGCTTCTTTGCCAAGAGAAAAGTGATGTGAATTGCTGGGTGAAAACAAATTCTTTCTTGAATTTCATTTGGTGACATTTGAACAACATAGCTAAATGCAAATGAGAACGGTTTCCTTCTTTTCTCACCAGAATGCACATAAATGTAAACTCTATTTTGCATTTAGTGAGGTGTTTATAGATATTGTCAACCATGATGGAAAATTTACATCACTGGGGCAAGTTCAGACTTCGGAGGAAAAATATTTTAAGTACTTAAGAAGGGACACTTCCTAAACAGGATATATGTTTCTTAACTGAAGGATTTATCTCGCTACTTTTGTAGTATGTTCATTTGTCTTCTAAGTTTTTATAAATTTTTCACACCAGATATAGCATTGCACTTACATTGTTATAAAAACAAACAGCTACTGGGAGCCAAGTCTAAATCTAGGGTAATGTTTATGAGGATTGAAATAAAAATGAGGACATGGGTATTCTCAATATATACGGTACAGAAACAAATTTCTTTTAAGTAAATACTTACAAAATGGTCAAAATGGGGCTTCATGTATTTCTAAATGAAGCATAGCTCCTTTTTAAAAAATAAACCAAATTCATAACTTCTTCCATTTAAGTTTAAACTGTTATGCTAACCTTTTCTTATATATATATTATTGTAAACATAACACCTGTAAAAACTAAGAAAACACACACACACACACACACACACACACACAAATTTCTTTTCTACAAATAATTCAAAGCCTGCAAAAAAAATGCAAAATTCAAGAAGACGAGCCTTAGACACAGTCAAAGCATAACCAACTCAGAGATGAACATGAGACTCTGGAGCAAGTAGATAAGAACTCCATAGATAATAACTAAGAAAATTCCATGCTGAGGAGTTTTAGTTTTGTGTGCAAAGGAGGTAAGTTTATTTTCAGAGGTGAAACAGATTTTTGTTTCTGTCCTCCAAGAAAGTGAAAATCACAAGTACTTTTGCAAGGTCTCTATTATAGTCCCAGTTGTCTGATTACTTAGTAAAAAAAAAATGTCCATGGCCAGGAAGAAGTCTATCTGAGTTGAAAGACAAAAGCCTGTAGTATAGCTACTCTTTCCTAAGCTTTAAATCTTCTATAATAGAGGGATTTTATGTCTTGAAGCAAGATAAGCTGTTTCTCTAACAAGGCAAAAACTTTTCAATGAATAACTGCAGAAAGAGTATAATTAAATTTCTATAGCTATAAAAGCTAGACGAGTTTTCATCCTTCAGGAAGTGCCCTTGGTCACTCTCCAGGAAGTGTTGCTTCCACTTTTCTCAGCTAAAAGTTAGAACGAAGGAGTTTGTTTTATTAATTGGAGTTTCATTTTGTATACAAAGGGCATGAGAATTATTAGCCAATCATATTATTTGATGCATTCTACTCCTCTCAGTATGTTATTTGTACAAAGTTGATGCTTTTCAGTACTTTGATTGCCAATAGACAAGATTCCTAAAGAACTTTATAACAATACAATGAATTACTTTTATAAGTCTCTTATTTAGAGTTGATATTTTGATGTCAGTTCTCTGAGCTTACATTTGCTCTCAACTTTTATCAAATTACAGTGATTTCCCTAGTCCACAAAGCTTAGAGAATTTCCTTACACTATGAGACTTCTAGGGCCAATATTTTCTTTGAAACAAGAGCAAGAAAAAAAAATTAAAAATCAGAAATTTTTCAAGATATAGGCAAATACCACATTTTAAAATATTTGTTTAATTATGTTTAATATATGGTCCATTATATTAAAACCAAGATAACAAATGATACGGACATGGCCAAGACATTCCTTTCAATGGAGATACTTCTCCCGTAACACTAAGACCTTTTCTTTATGATACAGTGGAGATGATGAGAAGGCCAGGTAGATGAACAAAGCCTGTGGTGTGCCCCGGGGAACCTGTGCCTGGAAGTGACACTAAATGGTATCAGAATTAACTCCTGCTCCTTTTCCCTTCCTAAATCTTTAAATGATTAAGAAAACTCTAAAAGTTTCCATTTAAAGTTCGTAGATGACTCTTCAGTATATGGGGAATGTATGTCATTAAAAGTAATAACCACTTTTTTATACTAAGAAGACTGAACTGTTAGAGAAATCCCTGATTATGAATAAGTTATGGTGCATGGGACTGTGGCACGCCTGCTCTCTATCTTCCTAGCTACCTTCTTGGGTAAAAATTTCTGTCCTGTCTCAGAAACCTGCCATAAATGCTCTTATGTGTCCCAAAGCTCAACTTTTCCTTTATTTCATATCTAAACTGCAAAATTAAAAGAGAAATGTGATAAATTTATAAAACAAGTAATAGAATCCCCTAGAAGAGACTTAAAATGAAGCTTGTATCTTTTGTATTCCTCCTTCATTTCCTCTCATTCTTTCTTCCTTCTTCCCTTCCTTTCTTCTTTTTTTCTCTTCCTGCCTTCTTTCCTTCCTTATTTTATTCCTTCCTTCCTTCTTTTTTTTCTATTTTCTCTCTTTCCAGTTATGAAGTTTCTCATTTCACATCATGTGGTAGCTATTTCTAAGGCTCAAAGACTTGGTGAGCCACCATATTCGGCTCTGTGGGAGTGTATTCGGTTATGACCTCAGCTATACTCCTTTGTCCTTTCATAATCAAATCACTTCCAAAGCTTCCTATAGTCTAATGGTAAGCAGTGGTCAGAGATATCTACATGCAGAGCCAGATCTCTGAAAGACCTAAGAAAATCTTTCAGGTTACGTGGTGATACTAACTTTTATGGTTCTCATATAACTTCTATCTAGATTAATTACAACTTCCCCAGATCTCTTGGTTAAGGAGTTAGCTCATGTCTGTGTTAATATCATGATGACAAGTATAGACGCAAATTTGAATAGAGTAAGGGACGTGACTGTATTGTATTTCTTAGTGGCCTGGCCTAGTACCTCATGAACAATGGTAGTACAGACATCATCAGTGGAACAGAAGGGGTGATGTATGCATCCCAGCATGGTGTTAGCTAGACGCCACTGCAAAGGGGCACAAGAAGTGAGTTCTTTTTTCTTTCTTCAGATTAGTGCTCTAGCAGTATCTACAGAATGTGGGGAAGGACCTTGGGCAACTGTCTATCTCTCTGGTCTTGCTCACACTGTATTTTCTCTGAAAGAGGAAACAGTCTCTGCTCATGGAAATCTACAGGGCAAGTGTAGTGTTATTTGAAGATTAAGGAGAAGACAAAACAGGGCTTTAGCATCTCCATGTGGCTCATCATTCTCATGGAGTTAGTGCTTAAACATTCCCATTTCTGGGGAATTGCTCAGCAGATGCTGTTCATTTCTGCAGTGAAGCAAAGCCCAAGCCTGTTAAAAGCCAGGAAATGTATGAATCCCACAGGCTCACGAAATAAGAGTGAAATCTAAAACTCTCCCAGGTAATTTCATCCACTGACTACTCTGTTCCACTGTTCACTCACCCCATCAGTAGTAGGCACTTTCATTGACAGTGATATTCTGAGTGACTCCTGACTGGGTTCTGAAGATGGGACTAGGAGGAATATGGGGTCCTGCCCTTGGAAGGGGGCACAGCCTGGTTGGAATACACGCTGATGTCATGTGACAGCCATGAGTGGAGGAGGGAGTCTGCTCCTTACCTCCCTCCCCGCCATCTCTCCCAGCAACTCGTTACAGCCGCATCTCACAATTACAATGCAGGACAGTATCTACAGCACAGTGAGTCTATGTACACATGGACCATTCCCTTGGCATGCTTTAGAGAGAGACACACACACTCTCACACACGTACACTCACATGAGAGCGAGAGACTTGAGCACACACGCACAGTGGAAAAACTTAAAATGGCACTTCCTAGCATATGCGGCGTGACAAGTGCCCTGGAGGGCGGTGGGGCGAAGAGAGGTTGGCGGGTGGGCTAAAAGGAACTCTGTAGTGTGAGTGTGGGACGATAGAACACACTGGAAATACAGGGTGATCGCAAAGGTTGGAGAAAGAATGGAGGCAGAGGGCTCTGATAAAGGCTCAACCAAGATTCCATTGATCATCTGAAATGGCTACAAGTCAGCGCAAATGAGAACAGAATAAAGACATTATGGAAATATAAACACCAAAGGCAAGACCTTATATTTTTCCCCACAGATGAAAACAGATGAAGGAGGAAGGATAAATTGTGTGTGTGGGGGGGTTAATATTCACGTTTTTTTTCTTGGTCTTATTTTTACAATGTCCAGATGTCCCTACATGGTGCGGTCTTTACACAGCATTCGTTCGCTTAGTAGAGATATATATAGACATAGCATGGTAGAACATTTCATTTCCCACCCTGAATTATGCTCAATTTTTTATTGATTGACTTTAAATTTGTTTTAAATGTTGGATTTTCTTCATTTTCATATTTTCCCCTTCATTTATAAACACACAATGTTGTGAAATAAACAGTCTCCCCCCATCTTGCACACGTGCTCTCTCTCTCTCTCTCTCTCTTTCTCTCTGTATCCGGTGTGACACATTGTTGTGTGTTTTTTAAATTACTTTTAAATTTTTATTCTATTAACATTTGCTGAGAAGGCAGAGCAGAGATGCTGCCAGCAGCCACAGTGGTACGGCCAGACTGATGGATCCATTTATTCCTCTCACCGACCCAGGTCCTGCGGGAGTGAGAAAGGAGAGAGAAAAGAGAATAGTTATATCCTGATCATTTTTTGCTTCAGAGGACTGTTGACAGGACTCAGGTAAGGGATGGCCAAGTCTTGAGCTCCAGTGTCTGTGCTCTGTGTGCTCTTTAGGAATGGTTCTAAATCTTGTCTAATAATTCTCATTCTGAGGTTTAAGTGTCACAAAGAGCATCACTTATAGGTACACTTCCGAATCTAGAATTACTCTTGCCGGAGCAGCTCCTAAGCTGGCCATCGCCACTGTGGGATGTGCTGTGTGAGGCCAATCGACTCATCTGACCTGCTTTGCCCATGCCTCACCATCAGGCCGGCGCTGGCCCCTGAGGGGTCTTCAGCAGCTCAATGTGAGCTCTTCCTCTCACTTCATCACAGTGCCAATAAGCTGTCTCACCAATCGTGGCTCCTTAGTTTCTTAGAGAAATAGTACTTACCTATTTGTTAATTGGGAAGGCAATTATTAACAAGTAACTTTTGGAGGTGGGTGGCACCTTATCAAGCTAAAAGGTAAGGCAACACATTGTAGATTCTTCAGTGGAAAAATGGGTCATCTTGCTCCAAATCCTCCTCTGCCATTTTAAAAATCAGAAGCCAAATCAACGATGGCATGATAGATGTTAAGAAGGAGGTCCTTAACAGTAACAGTCCTGAGATTTGAACTTACCCAGGCCTGAAGCAGCCACCCTAGTAGGGCCAATGTTGGTTGGACTCACAAGAGCAGAAGCTGTAGGTCAGTCAAGAGCTTGTCGGTTGTATTTTGTTACCTTTTCTCTTTTTTTGTATATACTCCATTAAATTAAAATCAGTGTAGGCACTTTGGTTTTGAGGCTACAGACTTAGATAATGACATTCAAAAAAGAAACTGGCGAACTGTAACTATGGGTTCCTTTGAAGAATTTAGGGCACATATGCAGCTTGTGTGTGTTTGGGTGTCTGTGTGTGTATGTCTGTGTGTAAGTATGATGGCTTACAACTGTAGAGGAGTTTACAGTAACGTGGTATGTGAAAATTTTCATAATCTCTTTAAACACATACCAGTTCAGAGACAGGATAACAGGAGGAAATGTTCAATTCAAGAATGGCCCTAATTTGTGTTTTACGTAATTAATAAAAGAAATAGTGACAGTAACAACACAATAAGCATCTGCCTACTGGGCACTGCTATAAATACAAGCACATACCTGTCCTGAGCTAAGTACATAATTAAACTTGTTTTCCAGTGAAATAGGCACAGAGAGATAAATCCAACTACACCTTTCCCTCACTCATTAGCAGAGAGACTGTGTGCTTGATGTGGAATTTGGCTCCCCAGCCTTTGCTAGCCAGAAGTGAGCAGTGATTCATCAGAAGCCATGGCCATTGACTAAAGGAAACTTGGGTTGGATTAAATCAGTAACAAGCACAAACAAACCTAGAAAGAGATAGTCATTACCTTTATAGAAATGTTTCTGAATAAAATGTTTGGGGCTAGAATGTCTTCTTGGGAATATTAAGAACATGACTCAATAAAACAAAATATGAACTGGCCATTGCTTCTGTAACACACACTCTAAAAATACAAACAGAAGAACTATGAGCAGCATGGTTTCTATGTAGCGTGAGCGTCACCATGCACAGTGGAGACCAGCTACAGCTCTGATTCTGTGGATGACTACGCATTGTGGTGATAATGGTCACTTTAGCTGCTTTCCGTGTGAGCAGGCCCTGGGTGCAGCCCCCCGAACCTGATTAACTCCTTCACTGGGCCCGCATTGCAGGTGTCCCTGGGCTCAGTTCCACGTCCTTCTCCACTATCTCCTTGTCTTCCCCTACAGACATTTTGAACTTTGGGGATCTCAAAGCTCTTAAAAGAAATGTCCCAGGGCTTCTAGTCAGGTGGGTGGAATTCTTTATTTAGCTCCTTATTCCTTTCATTCCTTCATATACATTGCATGACATCAGCTTCTCGGAACATAGTACTAGTGTATCAATGAGACTTTCATAACAAGCAAAGACTACACAAACATTAAGGTCCTACATAGTTAAGGGAAAATGTTGTGTGTTTTACCCCAAGGATAATGTGAAATAAGTCTTCAGATGAGATTGGGCACATTCAGCATGGTGTGGACATAGATTGTCCTCAGAAAATGTCTCTTCCCATAATCTCACTTTTAGCTATAAAATAGTCTAAATTATGTGTCTGACATGCTGGAGCTGAGTAGTATTTGAGGAAGCCTAAAACAAAATCCCAGTCTTATCATTTTATTTGCATGGTAGTCAATACTTAAAAAAACAAAGTATTCATCATTGAAAATACTTTTCTTTCTTTGTATATGCACAAACATGTTCACAGGTAACGTTCTAGTACTCTTGCTAATGCCTGTATACATCTACAAGCACATGAAGAGGGAAAGATCCCAGGTAAATACTCACATGCGATAGCCACACGTAGTTTTAGTATACATGCTACAAAATTAGCTATTACTTTCATATGCTGTAATGGAGACTACCAATATGAGTATGGCAATAATCTTTAATTTTATCTTTAATGATATTACTATATATTTAAAGAGCATGGCGTATATCTCTTAAAGACATCGCCATTTCCATCAACTATTATTTATTAAGTGCTTTCATCTAGCTATTTAAAGTGTTTATGTCACTTGCTCTTGTCGTAATTGATTTTGACTCAATAAATAGACTTCAAAAATACCAGGGTAAATGGGTGATAGTTGGGAAATCACCACAAGTGCGTATGTAATTACAGACGTATACGAGTGCATAGGAGACTACTTCAGTTAATGGCTATTTCAGGGAAGAATAATCAGCAAAATCATTAATTATGTTTTAGTTCATAGTTATGAAATTTCTGCTTATTTATGGAAATGCAAATGATAAATCTTATTTTTTATGCCAGATGGCCAAGCTGAGCAAGTGCTTTCATATACTGACAGATAAAATGAAAGCAAGAGTCTGCAAACATAAATTAGCCTTAAGAATAGATGGGCAAATAAAAATCACAGTTCAAAGCCTTGCTGCATACATGGACCGGCCAGATAGCTCAGGGGACTAAAGCACCTGCTTAGGAGGAGCACAGCGGCCAGGGTTCAATCCCTGGTGTGCCGTGCCGGTCCTGCCCCCGGAGCATGCTGAGACAACAATTGAGACTGGGCGTGGTGGCGTGCAGCTATAATCCCAGCACTTGGGAGGCTGAAAACAGGAGAATCGCTATGAGTCCGATCTACACAGTGAGACCCTGTAGACCCTGTACATTAAAAAAAAATCTTTCTGCATGCTTTCAGATCACAGACAAAAGTCATATCTTGGTATTTACCTGCATTCTGTGTGTGTTACATGTGTGAATATACACAGATAGATGTGGCTTCTCAGAAGTATTCAGTTGACTGTACCATGATCATGATTGTTGTTAAAACAGAAGTTTGGGTTGCTGAAATCAATGAAATACTAACCCAGATGAAAAGGTAGTGGTTGGTGAGTTGAGCCAAGTGTTTAACATTTGACCCTAAGGGGCAAACCTCAGCTACAGGAGACTGTATACCGTGGACCCACACACCAGGCCACTTTCTCATCCCAGCACAGGGTAAAGGAAACTGTAGCAGGCAAATACTTTGTCATGACAAAGTCTTTACAACAGGGCAATGCTTCCAATTAAGGGCAAGATTAAGAAAACATCCTGAAATTGAGGAATATGAGAATCTTTTGGCAAGCCTCTAAACTACAAATATGAGCCAAATGATTAGTCTTTCAGCAACATCTCAAAGAAAGGCAAACATAATTTTTCAGCCCCCCTTTTTCGGCGTCCGTGAGGGATACTCTGCCTGTACTCCTCCTTCAAATGGGGCCAACAGTTCCTGAGTCCTGAGGGCTCCTCCTGTCCTGGGTTTGGGACTGGGTTTGAGCCTTCCTTGTAGCCACTAAGGAATCAAGTTTAGTTATGAGTTTATTCTGGATATAATTCAGCCATAAAAGAAGAAAAGAAAGGCTGAAGGAGTTTTAAAATTTGAATTTTTTTTTTTTTTTAGAATTGTTAGACTAATGGATTAAGTGACAATAAAACGAAATAACAATTTAAAATAATTTGTTAACAAAGAAGATGGTCAGTCTTCATAATCTGCCCAGTATCTCTCTTCTGTATTATCTAGACTTGAGGCCCAAGAAGGCTTCCCTGGGACGAGAAGCCATGTTAAAAGGTGAAAGTGATAAGATTGACTTTGGTGACACCTGCTGGCCACTTTCTGCCAGTACAGCTGCCTTGGGTGACTGAATTGAGGACTGAAGTTTGTAATTGCCATAGGCTAACTCAGATTATTGGAGGGAGTATAATGATGTTTCCACGGAGTATGGGCCTTAAAATTAAATCTGGACTCTTCCAACATTCATCCTCCGTGAAGTGAGACTTGGGTAGAGTGAAGTATTCGCACAGAAGAGTTGGAATCAAGTCTTTCCCGTCAGAACAGTCTTCTGCACATACATTTTAAAATTTTAGGCACATTTCTGGTGACACGAGGGTGCCTATCTTGCCATCACATTAGAACCCCACTGTGTCACACGTAACACTAGCCAGTGAAGATTCATGCCTAATTAATGAAACAGTAATCACAGTGTTGGGGAGAGAAGAAGGGCAGAAGAAGAGTCTGAGTTACTTTCCTTTCATTGCTGAGACAAAATGACGGAAGCCGAAATCAAAGGAGGAGAGGTTACTTAGCTCACAGTCGGTGGAGGTTTCAGTCAGTACTCAGCTGGCTCCAAGGCAGGGTGGGTGGCTCAGGAGAACAGTTCATCCGCAGAAGCAGCAAGAGCAAAAAAGGAGGGAGCAAGCTTCTTGTCCTGCCTTATACTGCGTGCAGGCTACCTGCCCTAAGATGGATGTGACACTCACACCCCCAATCAGAGCACTAGACAGTAAACCAATCTCTAGACTCAACTGCTTCCCAAGAGCCTGCCCTCATGACCGCTGGAGGCTTTTAGGGGACATCACACATGCCATAACGAGAGGACATGCTTTCACGCCCCAAATGATCCGGTCCATTTCCTACTGCTTTCTGTGAGGACTTGCTAGACTTGGCCAAAACAAGGTGCTGGCCCTTTCTTGGGAGGAAGGAAAAAAGGAACATTCTCTATGAAGCTCTTAGAAACCGGTCCTACGGACTAGATCCAACGGAAACAGGTTTTTGCCCTCTATAAAAGATCTCAGTTATTTCATTTCCTTTGGAGACTAAGAAAAGAAACCTTCATGCAAGACAATTTCTCATCAAGTACATAAGCAAGAGGACTCCCATGGGGTGGCGCCTGGCCACACTGGGGCCTCTTTGGTTCTGCACTGGGTGCAGACACTGTGAGAAATTAGCTACGGCACTGTAAAGAGGGATTCTTAATCAGTAATTGCTTTCATTTGCAAGGTCTGTTTTATGAAGTTTGGACAAGGTTATGCTTCTTTGTAGAGAAATTATGTGGCTTTTATGTCTCAGGGCTGCTGCATGAACACGGGAGAGCTGAAGATCATGAAATCCTGTTCCTTACCTGGGTCAGCAGCAGAAGACTGAGGCGTCCAAAGGCCTGGGAATATTAACTGCTCAAATGACTCACTCTAATAGATACTCTGGTCTCCATGCCTAGTCTAGATGTCACTGTCCAGCTATGTATTTATTTTAATAGGTGATGTTACTGTAAAATAAGCCTGATGTCACTTCTGAGAGTCCAGACATTGGGCAGAGAATGTGTCAAAACTGCAGTTCTGCACCGATTAAACAGGGACCCCTGCGATGGGGAAGGTAGGGCTTGGGAAGGGGAGCAGCAAACAGCTTGCTCAGACCCAGACCCAGACCCAGAGTTCTGAAAGTGAAAAACTGTCAAAAGCAATGTAAGACTCGAGGGTTGGATCTGAGGCTTTTGGAAATAAGAGAGTTCATAATTTGGGAACATAATGCTAAATGTATGATGGAAATTATCATTACAGGTTACTGAACTGAAATAAAAAATATAGAAGTCCACAACACATTGCTATGAAGTCTTAATTTTAACATACAGAAGGTAATCATAAATAAAGCCTACCTTTTTGCTTGAAGTGCACGGTGGTACCGATTTCTAAAAAAGAAATATTTAGCAAAATAAAAACAAATGTATATATGCATATATTTTAATCAACTAAGAATTACCATGAAAGTAGACCAGTACTCTCCACCGAAAGGAGACAGAGAAAAGGCAGAAAATGATGTTAGCAGGAAAAGAGACTGCTAAAGGTTGAAGAAGGGAAGATGGAAAGAGACATTTTGGTTGGAACAAATGTGCGACAAGTGCACGGTGTGCTGTGTTATGCATGTGAACTTGAAAATGGAAGGTGAAAGAAATCTGGGCGACCTTCCTAGGTTCCCATCCCTGGGCTGCCATTTGGCCCTTTGTTCACTCCACTTAAGCCACTAGCCTCCCGCTCTCCTTCAAACGAGTGACTCTACTCAAACTCTGTGAACTTTGTTCTTGCTCTCTTGTCTGCGAGAAATCTTCTCCTGGGTCCTGGCTGGCCAAGACTGCATTCAGATTTATGCTGACATGTTCCCAGTTCAGGAGGGAACGTGTCACCCTTTCAGGGGTGGCATTCTCTGTCATTCTCTCTACTTCTTACTAAGCTATGTGGCACCATTCTCTACCTGGAACCACATTAAAATTTACTTAGCTGTCTGCTTGTTTTGTGTACCCCATTGGAGTATACGCTCCCTGAAGGCTGCTGTGGTGTACATTTTGTTAAGCATTGAACATTAGGGCTTAGCTTAGTCCCTGGTATGCAGTAGTTTTCAATGAATGGTGCACAAAAACGAAATGTCAAAGTTAGAAGAGATCACATATTTTAGGTACATAGATATTCTTTTAAGTATTCTTATAAAATAAACTAGCATACTCCTGGCTCTTCAGAAATAAGTAAAATTTCCAGAAGGTACCGCCGTGAGTCTCAGGACAACTTAAGTTTGGCTAAATAATATAGCTCAAGGGGCCATTTGACACTTATTTTTTGACCATCACAACACAGCCCTGCATCCTGAATAACATGACTTCACTAAAGAAGCAGAATAAATGAACCCTTCAGCCAGAGAGAGCCTTGGGAGTTGGGTATTTGGGCACTGTATGGTCCTGCCTGAAATGTGTTCATGTTTTCTTGAGACTGAAGGTAAAGATCAAAATCCTTGGCGTCACCACTGCAGCTCCCCTTGCCACCCCTGCTCCCCAACCTCATCAAACTCTCTTAGCTCACCAGTTTGCCTTTGTGTTTCCTGGTGCCATGGGGCATATGTCCCAGGGCCATCTCATCCAGAAACCTCACTCTGGCTCAGAATTTAGCTTTCGCTTCTGCAAAGAAATCTTCCTTGATCCCCTCGGCACATTAGGACTCTTTATTGCATGCTCTGCTTTTCTTCATAGCACTCATTTCAACACCTGTGCTCATGTCATCGATGCTGTGATTGATACCAGTCTCTTTGGCACTGGACTTTTCATTCCATGGAGACAGGGTCTTTGTCTTTGAGGGACTGCTGTTGTAGCCCAGCCAGTACGGGTATTCTAAGTGTACATTGGCCCAAAACAGAAAAAGAAAAAAGCAGGTAGAAAAAATACATGCCAAGCGTCCTCCTAACCTAAAATGAAAATAGGGGTGGGGGACAGGGGCTATGAGAAACTAAATTCTTTCATCTGGGGCATAGCACAAAGGGCTCAGATATTTGTTCTCAAGATTTGGGGCTGCCCGTGAAGCCCTCTCGTCACAGATGTTAGTTTTCATTTGTCCATCCAAAATAGACCAAAAGGAGTTGTTCTGAAGTGGTGTAATGTATTCCGGGATTCTTATCAAGAAGTGCTCGATTGTCCTCCTGTCTGGTGTCTGAAAATGTTTGGCCACAGTTCAGTGTTAGCAAAATTAGTCCCATCCTGGCTGTCCCTAAGAACTGGTTTCATCTGCAGGTAGGGACAGTTTCTGAGAACTGGCCAGATATGGAAGAGGAGTCGAGCACGAGTGTCCTATGTGTTGAAATTGCCAGGTGAGCCCATGGGGCACTTCTGCACTTAGGTCAGTGAAGGATCTTACGGGCGGCTGCTGAATTAACACATGTATCACACTGCAAGGGCAGACAGAAGAACGTACCAAGGAGTCTCCATTGCCATCAGGGGACAGCCGCCGATCCCGTGCTTACCCTGGAGTGACTCTAGGTCCTTTCGGTGCAGAGAAAACTCGCTGACAACCTTCTCTGCACACCGCCTGATCCAACCGCTGAGCTGCCAAACTGTGTATTAATCACACAGTCACTACTCTCTTTCCTGATATTTGCTCTATCACTTTTTCCTTGCAATTAACATATTACTTTAAAATTTGTTGGAAAGGTACTGGAAGAAGAGTGTCCACTGTATAAGAAGAAGCTGAGGACCAGAGACGTTATACAAACTCAAAAGAAAGAAATGGGACTGAAATTGGGCTCCCAGCTCTACAGCCAGGAGCCAGAACATTATCTCCTGTGCCTAGTATTTTTTTTCTACACGAGCAAGGTGTCTCTAACTGGGATACTTAGTCATGATTGGGATAGTTAAATAACACAATCCTGGGCAGTAAAGCTCTGCTCCAGAGCAAAACATGACTGCTTCGGTCAAGGCTCTCTCTCGGTTCTTCATCATTTAGAATTTATTTGGACCTCTCAGGTCACAGAATGATAGCTTTAGCTAAAGGGGCTTAGATTCTTCACATTCAAGTGAAGCACATTTAGCTTTCCGTGGGTCAGGTCTGGTCCACGGGCTCCCCAGTAGTAATTTCAAGCAATTGTTCAGGCTCCAGGGCAGGCAAGAAGGTCAGGGAAGGTGCTTAAACTAGAAAACAACTCTTGACTTCTTTTATGTTCATATTCACTAAGGTGGGCATAATTAACCTGCCTGTTATAAATTAATCCACATACTGTAGCAGACATGTAATAAGCACTTAATTAAATAAGAGCTGTAGTCGCCAGTTTGGTGGTGGAAATCCTTTCTAGAGAGCATTTCAGTGAAATTTTTATAGAAGGAAAAAGTAGGTATGTTAGCAAATAAGCCGGGGAAATACAGGTCCAAATTTTGATGATAATATAAATTTTAGATATAACTACATAGCAGCAATATGATCAATGATACATGAGAACATTAGGAAATTCTAGGACAGAAAAATGACAGGAAAGTAGACTGGTTGCTCAGGAGAACACTGGCTGCGCTCCAGCAGGAGCCTCGCGCCGGTGTGGGCCGGCCTGAGGCTGCGAATTCTAGACATATGCTAGAGGACAGGCACTCCTCTGCCAAACAAAAGCAAGTTATTAATACATCACCAAATATTTCATTCTCCAAAGAGAATGTCAGAAAAAGGTCATATAGTATTATGTGTATTTTACTGAAGTAAATTAAAACGGCAAGCTATGTTACAAGTTAAAGTTTAGGCAGTCTTCCTATAAATCTACTTCTTTATGAAAATCAGATATTAAAACTTGAAATTCCATGTGTATCTAGGGAAACACCAAGAGTTTTTACTTTATATCTTACATTGTGATTTCCTAGCATTTTTTCCCTACGGAAGTAGAATATTCTCTCGTGACGCAAGAATAATCCCTGTATACAGTTGCGATTCAATCTTTGGAAATTTGGTTAGGTGCTGCCATCTTGTGGCGATTTTAAGATCGGCTCCTGTGTGCTGTCTAAAGGAATTGCCTCTGTCCATGGGGTGGCAATACAGCAAGAAAAACCTTTTTCCAGTTTCACAACAGGCATGAAATGTTACTCTTCAAGAGGGGATATTTCACGGTATAGGAAAAAAAAAAGGGGCCTTTAATAACTGAAATTGATTCTTCCTAGAGGTGTTTTTGATGAAATCTGCATTGCAGATAGTATTATTTGTGTAGGGGTTTCCTGGGCACACTCATTAGGACATACCCGTTTTTGTGTCTCTCATGAAAAATTTCAAATACGTACTGGTCTTGCTTCAGCAAATTCCCTTACAACTACACATGGCAGTCCAGGTTCATTAAAAATAAAATAAAATAAAATAAAACATCTACAGGGCTCCAATGGCTGGAACATCGGGAAATACTAGTGTAGACAACATTCCACACTTTATCCTGCAAACAAAGTGACTTTGCCCCATTCACTTTAATATATATA